AGGTCAAAATTCTTCGTTTAGAGCTTGTTTTGACCAGGCAAATGTGTATTACAACTTTAATTAAGAGTAAAAGATATATTATTATAGTAGAAATTGTAAAAAAAAATTAATTGTTAAAACTATGACCAAAGGTCGTCAGTACAGTTTTCTCAATGAGTTTAAAATCTAAAAGTATGATATTTGTAGGATATATGTAAAATTTAGAGCTGAACAAGTTTACTTAAGACATTAGGATAGGTTGTTTTAATAAAATAAATAGTTATAAGCATTTTTGACAAACAGATTTTTTAGTTAATTTTTGTGCAATGGATTTGTAGAAAGAGTTTTTTTTCCCTCCAGTTTGTGTTATAATATAATATAATAGAAACATAATAATTATATATATAGTTTAATATATAATATAATGAAAAATAAAGAAGAATTTAAGTTAAAAAATTATAAAAAATTAGAAATATATAGTAATTCTCAAATTTGTATATAATATTTTTATTTCTTTAGTACAGGTTAAAATGTAATTAAATTCTTAGTATAGATTAAAATATTAGTAACCTTACTAGAATAGTTATAAAGATATATGCTTTCTGATTTTTTTTTTTTCTTATAATCTTTTTAGTTTAATTTAGATTAGTTTTTTTGTTTTTTTTGTTTTCTTATGAGAAATTTTTATTAAATTAGTAATACTTTATTGTAGAATAGCATTAGAAATAACCTCTTAGATGGTAACTTGTTATTACCTAATGCAGTAAGTTAGCTTCTAAATATTTTTAAAAGTAGTTAAAAAAGTTGAAACTTTGAAATTAAGCTTGTATTATTAGCAATAATGTTAATATTTTTTTAATAAAAGCCACTAGCATGGCTACCTAAGTAAAAAAAATACTAATAGCATAATATGCTATGCTATGCTACCAATTTATTTTGTAACAACATGTTGCAGTTCTCTTTTCTAAATTAGAATATATTTGTTTGTTTATTAATTATATATTACAAATTTTCATTTTTTCAAAATCAAATTAATTTTTTACTTTTTTTATAATTTTTATTAAAAATTTTTAAAACTTTGAGTTAACTAAAATTATTTAAGTTTTTAATTTTTATTATACTAATAATGTATTTTTTTTATTATGCTGAATTTTTTGAAAGGTGCTGCTGTTGGTTTTGAGTTTTGTTTATGTTTTGCTTTTTACTGATTTAATAAATGCAGATCAGCAAAAAGATTTTTTTTATTTTGAAAACATTAAAATATTATAGAAATACAAATAAAATATTAATTATAATCTTTATGTTTCATAAACTATATTAGAAACTTATAAATTTATTCTTATAAATTTGACAATAAAAAGTTCATATTTATAAAAATTAATAATATTGAAAACACTCATTATTCAAAACATTATCCAAATAATAATAAGACCTTTTTTAATAGTAACTGAAAAATTACTTTTGAAATATATGTAATATATGTGCAAATGATATCCAGTGTTATCAATTTTTCGTTCTATTAATACAAATGATATATTATCGATTAGAAAAATTAATTATTATAAATCTTCAAAATCGTTACTAGTGTCAACGAATTGATATTACAAGTACATTTTAAAAAAATTTATTTATATGGGTAATTATTTTCGAATCCAGACCGAAATGTTATTACGTCGTATATAAAATTGGTCCGGGTTCGAAAATAATTACCCATATATTGATGATCTCGAATTCTCTATTTGATTTATTTGTTGTAGGAATCAGAATAAGTTGGGTTGGACATTTTTGTTGTTGTAATAACATATAAAAGTTCACAAAGTCAGAAAAAAAGGAAACAGGAACCGAAATTGTTGATGTTAATGTTTTGTTTTTCTTTTGGTTTTAATAAAGTCTGAAAAGAAGAAACAAAACTTTGATACATCGGTTTCATTTTTGTATTTCGAACATAATGATCGCTAAATAGTAATAAAAATGAAAGCATTTGCACATTTATCGTAGTACTTGAGTATCATCACTAATCACATTGAGGATCATAAGCATAATTCAATTATACTGCCATTCGTACTATTGGACTTCAACGATGGTCTAATTAAATATTGCTATAATGGTTGTGCATTATCACAATCACTTAGCTAATCACATCGAGCGTGCTGCTTGAGAACACCCTTATGAAAGACCTGGGTATATTACGGTGCAACAATTCTGTGTTGCAAAAAAGCAAATTCCCAATACTATACATTCATATGTACTCCGTTTAGAATAAGCAGTCTAGAAATTTCATTTAATTAATAGAGATCCCATGTTTTACACCAGGGTGTTTTGCGTGGGGAATATTGAAAAAGGGGTATTCTAGTCAGTGCACTACCGGAAATTTAGTTAGTATCAAAACTATTCGGGTTGTATATAATGCTATTGCTAATTATGTGTATAATAGTAAGCAAATGTAAACTCCGATGCATTGTTAAGGTGCAGTAGAGAAATAAAGTATTCGTGGTTTTGTAATATTTTTTACAATAAAAAAATTTTTGATTCTTTCAAATTTTCCGAAATGACATGCGATTTTGATAACGATAATGCTAAAGCATCAAGTTGACATTTTATAGAAGTCAATTAAAGACTACATCTATGGACAATCATAGTGGTAGCATTCTTTTACCACAGCCAACTTTAAGCCCAATCGCATAAAAGTTTCCGAATTTGGTTCGTAAGGCTTTTACCATGTGATTTGTTTTTTTTTTAATCCATTGATTTTTTTAAATTGATGCAAATGAATGAAAATAGAAACTGTAGTTTTAGATGATGCGGTGTTCGTTATGAAAGGCTTTTCGCGGAATTTCTTGTCGGATATATCCTTTTTTTTTCAGAGTTCACCGTGAGTTATTTCAAAATTTCTCTCTGTTGATCATCAAAAAAAAAAAAAAAATGACGCGATCACCAGACAAATTTTTATCCAAAAGCAATTTCATTTTACGGAGTAAATCCACAAAATCAACCGTACCTCTTAATTTATCCCAACGTACAATCCCGTATCCACTTTCTTTAGATTGCCTCATAAACATTATTGAATATTTAAAAAATGACCGTGCAACTTTATATTCATGTGTAATGGTCAATCGAATATGGTGTAAAACCTCAGTTCCGTTACTTTGGAGTCGACCATTCGAGCATCAAATGTTTGGAAAAGAAGTAACAATATTACAAACATACATTTCATGTCTCAATTTTCATGACAAAGCTCAATTAATTGATCATGGAATCCAATTACCTGATATGCCGAATCCTACATTCGATTATCCAAGATATTTGCGTGGATTCGATAGCGAAAATTTTGATCGTGCTATTGAGGATTGGATGATGATGGTGTGTTTAGCCATGGATTCAGATTACGAAAGAGTTAAATTATGTAATCGAGTTATAGGAAATTTATTATTTAGTCGAACTAATGGGTTAAAAGCTCTAAAAATTGATCGAGGAGAGATTGAGGATAGTTGTTTAATGAATATTGTGAATTTAAATAATCAAATATCAGAAAAAGAAAGTAACTATTATTATGAAGTATTTAATGAACTTGAAAGATTTGAATTGAAGTTTGATAACGATGATGAAGAGAAATGGGCGCTGAATTCTGAATATAAATCACAAATTTGTAGTCAACTTGCTACCTACACTCGATCTCTTTCGCATATTACAATCTCTATTGATCCATTTCGACGGTCTCCACCACCTCCGTTTATAGTTTGCCAACCGATATTCGAATTAATTAGCTCGCAGGACAAGCTAAAATTTTTAGATATAGAAGAATTTTGGGATGAGTTTACATACACGGCTGTATTCTATTCCTCTCTTCAAAGTCAAGCACACTCAATTACTCATCTCACTTTAACAAATTTGACAGAATTTGATTTATTGTTATCAGTGTTAGTAAGTTGCGTTAATTTACAAACTCTAGAATTTTTAATGGTACCTGAGCCAAACATGGAATCTTTTGATTATATTACAAACCCACGGCCACTCAGTATTAAAAAATTAATTTCATATGACGCGAGAAGTGAACCTCAATTAGTTACACAATCCTTAGGAATTATAATCAAGATGGCAAATAGAAATTTAAGAGCTTTAATGTTATTTGAAGTGACATCTGAACTTATAGATATAATTGGACAAAATTGTCCTAATATAGTGGATTTATATTTAACAATGTCAACATCTTCCATCTCACATTTGTTACCTTTTCTTCCTTATCTACCATTGGAATATTTATTTTTATGGGAGGATCATAGCATGCCTTTTACTCTTGATTTCGTTCTTCAAATAGCAAAATCTATTCCTGTAACTTTGCAAAATTTAGAAATCACTTTTGATATGGCACCTGAAATTATGTATGATTTCCTCCGGGAGTGTCCTGCAAAATTTAGAGAATTGGTATTAAGGGTTGATGGTTGTGATGATGAATTCTTAGAGATTGTTACTATGTATGCTAAAAAGAGTGGTGGATATTTAAGAACGTTGAAACTTTGGGGATTGGGAATTAAATTTTCTGTTGAAGCTGTTGAAGAAGCTACGAAAATTATTCCTAGAATCGTTAATTTGGCATCTTATCCTCTTTGGTAGGCAGGTTTCCCAAATTGGAATTTGTCTGGATAAGAATATTGACCGAAATACAGTATAAATGCAAAATAACGCCCAGGTACGTTATTTTGAATATTGATCCAAATTAAACTTTAATTTAGGCCAAAATTTGAACCGGCCCTGGGCGTTATTTCGCGTTTATACGGTAAACCTTCTAAACCTAATTCTAAATTCTGATTTTGCTAAAACTCCTGCTTTAGACAGCCCGATTCTGAATCAGAAAATTCCAATCTGTGATAGCGACATATATTTTTTAAATTTTAATACTGGTTATTATTTAGTATAGATTTGTATATTTTAGAATTGTAAAAAAATATATATGTATAAATTAGATTAGAGGTATTAATAAAATTATATATAATATAAAACTGATTTTATATTATATATAAAATTAATAGACAATTCGTTTATAATCTGGAGAAGATACGCAAATTTTATAACAGTTATGGTATATATAATAATATGAGTGTTGATTCATAATAATAATAATAATACATAAAATTACTATAAAGTTTAAGCTTGGTTTGGGCCCCATAACTTATTGGTTAAGTTTCAAAACTTTCACAGACAAAGTATCTTTAACAGACACACTGCATGAAATGAGTAAAAGTAAAAATGTCAGAAGCGTAGCGGACAGAAATTGACATAAAAATTACTTGATAAAATCTATGTAAACAACAAAATTTTCTTATTTAAACATTAGTATCTAATTAAGATTTTACGTTCTAATTTTTGTTTACTATCCAGTTATTCTAATTAAAGAATCCAGTAATGATACATTTCAAAAGATTTTTTATGATAAAGAAATGATCTATATTCATCCTTTTCAATACCTATGCCGTAAAGATAACAATATCCGATATTATTTATTGCATCAACATCACCCACATCAGCAGATATTTGATAATAAATAAATGCTTCATGTCATCCTTTTCAATTCCTTTTTTCATAACAAAATCCAACACGATTTATCGCATCAGTATCATCTATATCAGAAGTAAACGATTTATGTTCATCTTTCTTAACTCCAATTCCACTTCGATAGTATTAACCAACATTATATATTCCATTAACATCATTCATATCAGCAGCTTTTTGATAATAAGCAAATGCCTTATGTTTATCTTTCAATTCCATTCCGATAGTATTAACCAACATTATATATTCCATTAGCATCATCCATACAAGCAACTTTTTGATAATAAATAAATGCTTATGTTCATTCTTTTCAGCTCCAACCCCATGTTGATAACAACAAGCAACATTATATGTTCTACTAGTATGTCCCATATTTGCAGATTTTTTTTGATAATAAATAAACGCTTTATGACCATGTTTAACTCCAATACCTTAATCATAACAGACGCCAACGCGAAGTATTCATTCAGCGTGTTCCATATTAGCAGAACTTTATGTTCATCTTATTCAACCCATTTATTACTTAAGTAGTAACATGTGATATATAGCTATATCAAGTTTAATTTTGATGGTGAATGTGAAGTTTAAGCATTGATTTAGTCTGAATAATATCGGGTAAATCGTATGATAGTCATCTGCACTATGTAATCAGGACAATAATTATTGTGGTTTACAAATTTTGCAGATCAATAGTAAAAAGGCCATATTATGTATAACATTCATTAATTTTATAATATAATGTGTCAATTGGTGACCAATAAGAGCACAATTTTGTGACTGCTTGGTTTAGGTCTATAGCGGAATTTAATATTTTTCAAGCCTCGTTATATAGATACGTATAATGAATGTACTGTATAACGGAATGTTCAGACCAGCCCAGATTCCGTTATATCGATAATTAACAGTAATAACAGATAATTGTTTATTTGCCATAAGTTGACGGGACATGAGATTGAATTTTCAGTACACGTAACTTTCAGATTTCAACTGAACAAAAAAAAACACATATTGAGTTCGAACATATGAGGGGGTGCCAGTAGAAACCAAGCACATTGTTTCTAAATAAATTTTTTTAAAACTTTAAAATAATATATCTCAACAATTATTAAACCAAACTTGATAAAAATTTTGTTATTTTAATTCTATATAGTTATAGAATTAAACTAAATAAAAAATTACCAAATTTGGTTTGATAGTTGTTGAGATATTTTAATTTAAATTTTTAAAAAAACTCACTAAAAACAATTTGCTTGGTTTCTACCGGCACCCCCATATGTTAGGCTAGCATATAGTAAAGCTGTATGAAGAAATCTTTTGTTAAAAAAAGGCAGTTTTGAACGCGATTTTTGCAAAGAGAATTCAACTTGTTAGAATATGAAAAATAATAAATTCCAAAAACATTATAATACGTAATAATGAACATATGCATTACTCTGATTTATGATAACCTTGCTAATACTTTTAATCGCTGAATCGTTCTAAAAACTATACCTTCTATCATATTACATAGGTTAAAGGTCGTTATAACGAACATGATAATAAAATAAGATTAATTTTTTCAAGAGATAATTAATAAATAAAGATAGTTTCGCTAGTAATTAATTCGCGTATTAATATTGCCTTTACGCGTATTTATCTGTTTTCTAATTTTATGTGATAAATTTTTTGTATGTAATTATTGGTTTGTAAGCTTCTTTTAGTGAAGTTTTCTTACAGTATTAAAATGATAGTTTAAGAGTAGAGTGTACATTGATCATTTTTATATAGTTTTTTATGTCACTTTAAAATTTTCATCTAAAATTGATATATGTTACTAATAAAACTTTTTAATTTTTTAGTTAATCAAAAAAAATTTTATAATATTATAAATAAAATTATTTATTATTATAATAAAATTTTAAACTATTGTATTATTTTTTAAAAAAATACTTGTATATATGAAAAAGTTTTCTTAGGTTAGTTAAAATTTTCTTAGATAGTACAAAATTAAAGAATTTGATTAGTAAATTTATGTAAACCTACAAGTTAATTTTATAATATAATTTTATATTCTAATGTTTAAAAATTCATATCTTAATGAGTTTTAAATTAATTTTAATAATTTTGTTATTATTAGAATCAGAAAAATGATGCAAATCATTAACTCTTTCTGATGATCATTTGTATCAAATTTTGTTGTAAAAAATTGATTATTATTCAATATTTTATTAAGTAAACTACCTTTGAATACTTAAATAAAGTTGTTCCTAATATAATTTTATATTTAGACAATCTAGTTATATATCTTTAAACCTCTTATTTATTGAAATATTTTTATTAAATATAAAAATATTTCTATTTAAGTTATCTTAAATTTTACTAATTAAACAACTCTTGTATCTTAGAACAAAAAAACAGAGCTTATTTACAGCTTCATTTTAATATAAAATTCATCAAAAACAGTCTAAAACTAATCAACTTATCAGACAAGGGACATTTCCATTTACAGGGGTTCAAAATGTTTTAATTATAGATCAAATGACTTGATGTACCTCAATTTTATATGTAAATTTATGAAAAAAATTTATTTAATTTTGATTTACTTAAAAACATTTGATAAAAAAATTGACTAAATTATTATTTGGCCGGTGCAATAAGTATTGCAGTTATTTCAAAAATAAAAAGAAAGTTTTTTTTTAAAGAGAGATTTATATTTTTTAACATTTAATGCTTCTTTTTTATAAATTTTT